GCAGCGTTCAGCTCAAGACGGGGTGAGTCAGCCCGGGAGCAGCACCGCCTCCCCCACCTCCCCCTTCCTGTCTCCTCCTTCCGCCTGCTCTCTGAGCGCGACACAAAACAGCCTTTCTTTGTCGGAGATTGTTTAGAAGCGGTGCCCCCTAATTACAGTAATCTCATCTCCTTTGAATTCGCCCAAATTACCCCTTTTCTTTATGTCGGTGCCACTGCTACAGGCCAGGCCTCAGCGGGAGGGTTTCTGTGGTGGCGCACGGTTGTTTTTCTCAAGCGGCATCTGCTCAAAGAGACTCGTGCTCCTCCGCGACTGACTCATGTGGTGGGAAGGCGTCCACACGCCGGTGTGAATGGGTGGCAGTGGGGGGTGCGGGATGGGGGGGCGTTGGAGAGGACGGGTCTCGGTTCTCCAGATGAAGTGGGGGGGGGTCTCGTTTCCTCCCGCAGAGCAGAGAGCATTAGCTGCAGCAGCAGCAAAATGCCTAAGTGTCCCCGGTGTCTGTCACGCCGCGTCTCAGGATGGGCGAGGACGGCCGGGTTTCTCCAAGGTGCTCTGTTGCCTTGGTGATTCTCACCCACTTCCCTCGTCCGCAGCAGCTGGGACCCCCTCCGGTGCTCTCCGCTCCAGCGGTGCCCTCCTCACGAGGACGCTGAGCCAGCTCTGAGGTTCCATCTCTGCACCCTCCTGCCTTCCGACTCCGCCGTCTCTTGTGCCCCGCGGCTCTGTCTCCTTCCTGCATGTCCAGGTGGCACTGAGGAGTCTGGTGCACTACTCAGTTCAGCCCCCGAGAGCTCCCTGTGTGCCAGGCCTTGGGGACACGAGGAAGAGGAGGTCAGAGTGGCTCTGTCCTCAGAGAGCTGACAGTCGTGCGGGGTCGTGGTTGGGGAGGCCCAGGACAGGCCCCTTCCTGCCGTGCAGAGACCCGGTCCTGCGGGGTCAGCCCAGTCCCCTGTTCTCCCTGCCGGCCTTCGCTCCCGACCTGGCCTTCGCTCCCGTTTCCTGCTCAGAGTGAGCGGTCCCCTGCCACCTCCGGCAGTGACACCCATGACACCTCTGAGCCCCGCGCCACCTTAGGGGGTCAGATCACCCTAAGTCTTTACGAAGTCTTCTCCGACCACACCGAACATCATACAGCTTCTCCGGACTCCCACAGCACGGGAGCGCTATCCCCTTAGACAGTTTCTGCTAAAAAAATACTTAAAGCCTTGGAAAGTACAGTGCAGATGCCAGGCCTTGCTGTTTTCTTTAACTGGGAGAAGAACTTTCGATGCCTTTCCCAACACTAGCTGTGTATTTCTGTAGGCAAGTTCCATAGCTGTTAAATATGAGCAACAATGTCTCAGGGCTGTTGTAGAAATTAACCCGATATTGACAGGGGTATAAATGAAATGTCTGACTTGTGGCAGGCAGGTCTTGATGGAACGATGGTAGTCGGAGGGGTGTTGTTTTTCTCAGAGAGGATTCATATTTTTCTGTGTTCTTTATTGTCCAGGGGGCCAAGACAGGCATGTGTTTTGGGGGTGAGAAGAGCAGACAAGTTACCTTATGAAGGATGATCATAAAGGATAAAACTAGAGCTTCTTCAGAGCTCTGTAACCTTCATCTCAACAATCCGAGAAGAACTATAATATTCTAATGGGCGGATGACACCCCACTTCCTGTGCCACCATTTCTTGGCAAGAAGACAGTCCTTTGGCTCAGACATCCCCGTAGAGACTAAGGGGTCATTGTTCACTCCTAGACAATGTTTATCAGAAATGGAGGCAACTCACCAGCCGGAGGAAGTAGCGATAAAGGAGGCAGCTGTCCTCTCTGGAGGGTGGTGACTCTCTGACCTTTGGAGCGTCCCGCAGCACAGGCTCGGATGCTGAGCGGCCGACCCAGAAGGGCACTGGGAACAGGAGCCCGGGACTGGACTAATGCTGGCTCCCTCAACCTCAACACTGTTTGGGGCCAAGTAATTCTTAGCTGGGCACTGCCTTGTGAACGGTAGGATGGTCAGCTGCATCCTTGGCCTCTACCCACTCGATGCCAAGAATGCCCCCGTCCTGCCCAAGACAACCACGATTGTCTCCAGGAGACAATCACCTGAAGACAGGCCCCTCGGTGGGTGGTGCGAGGGATGGTGGGCAAGATCCCTCCAGTCAGTAATAAACAGTAGAAAAAGGGGAAAAAATACAAAGTACCCAACAGAGTCCCATAGAATACTGTTTCTCAAACTTTAGGATGGCAACAAAGTGACCTAGAAACCTTGTTTAAAGACAGAACTACGTGCACCCCAGGCTCGGAGATTCTGATCCAGCGAGTTGGGGCCGCGTTTCTGAAGAGCACCCGTGTAACGCCGAGGCTGGTGGTCCAGCGGCCACACTCCCCTGAGCTTTACTATAGGGCGTGATGCTGGAAGGATGGAGAAAGTCGATGACAGCTGCCCATTGTCTTCAGCACAATGGAGATGCCGGTGGGGGCTTTTAAAATCACCTAAGTGACACATGTTGTGGAAAGCAAAGGTTTTCCACATTCCTGTGGTGGAAAGATTGCTGAAGAACCAGGGAGAAAACAGAAATTAAGGTAGTGGTTGGAATAGGGGGCCCCAGTGAGCAGGGAGGCTCCTGGGAAGGGTGGGGGCAAGGGTGCCAGCCCGAGGCCAGCGTACCCCTGAGTCCTATCATCCAGCCTGGCCAAGGCCACCAGGGGAGTTCCCACAGCCGGGTGGTGGCAGGGGCCCCCGGGGAGACCCCCGAGGCTTTTGACTCCTTTCCAGTGGAGCGCAGAGTTAAATGCCGTCTGAGTTAAAGTCGTGTGTTTGCTTTCAGGCACAATCTCAATGCACGCGTCTAGCCTCCCGCCCTTTCCCAGCTATTTCACTACTGCCCGGAGCACTCCCTCCACAGAGATACGGGAGCAGGGGCTAAACTCTGCCCCTGCCACCCCCAGTCACCCGACCCTTCTTTAACACGTGTGTGTGTGCGTGTGTGTGTGTGTGTGTGTGTGTGTAAGAGAGAGATTTCACACATGCAGGACAGAATCAGCGATTTCACCAGCCTGGGAATCAATTATTGGCCATCTCCACATAGACACCAAATTTAGATGTTGATAGAGCTTAACATAAAACTTCCTTCCTCCTCCTTCCTCTACCTTTCTTTCTCTTTTTCTTTATCCCTCCATCGCCCACCCCTGCCCTGCCCCTGGGCACCAGCCTTGGGCTCCAGGGCCGATTTTCACTTCATCTTGACACTCCTCGCCCTTCTGGGCTGACCTGGCGGAGGCCAGAGGTGGGCACGGCACCCTTGTTCATAAGGGCGTGTCCACTAGGCTGCCCCTGGGCCTCGGTGACCAGCCCGGGGACTCCGACTGGGCACTGGCCTCTCATCTCTGTTCTCCACCTCCGGGCCGCTTGCCGGGGACCTTCCATCAGGTCAGAGGTGGAGGCTGTGTGGCCATGAACTTGCATGTCCTGTGTGAAGATTGGTCGTCTGCCGCCCTGGACGGAGGCTTGGGAAACTGTATCTCAAGAGTCCACGCCTTATCTCTGCTTCCCTCCAACACAAAGTCTGTCATGGAAAATCTTACCCCTTACTTGGAACTTTGGAATTCTGAGGTCACATTTCTGCAAGTTCTCTCTCCCTCCCTCCCTCTCTCTTTCTCTCTCTCTCTCTCATTATCAAATCCATCTGCCAAACATGGTGTCATGCTTCTGGGCCCCGAGTTCTGTTGCAGTTACGCCGTTGGCCTCCTCCCCCTTGGCACTGTGACCTGAGGGAGCGCACAGCCCTGGGGACACGAGGAGGTCATGTCAGGTGGTGGGGGAGATGCAGCCCCCGCCCCCGCAGGGACTGAGGGTGTGTAACTGAATACCAGCTTCGCGAGGCACTCGACCTGGATGGCTCGGTCAGGCAGTTGGAGATTCACTGGAACCACCTTCGGGTTCACGAGTTCCCGCTTGCTTCCCGAGTGGGGTTCTCTCCCGCTTCCCCTCCTTGTTGATTGAATGATCCCTATTCTAGATCTATGTAGAGCCTGAACGTGCTTCCGAAGGCAATGACATCCGGACAGACCCTGGTATTCTCTGGAACAACCCCCCACGACTCCCCGAGGCCCCTCCCTCCCTGGCCTGCCGCCACCCCCTCTTCTGACCCGTGTGGACGCGGCCTCACTGTGTTCCTGTGGGTCTGTCCTGCTGCCTTTGTGTAAAGATAAACACGTAGATGCAGATTTAAATTTCTCCCCTCTTCCTTTTCACGCAAAGGCTAGCATCCTATATTTATATGCTCTTTGGTACTTTGCTTTTTTTCCCTTAATAGTATCCCTTGGTAATCACTCCATCTCGGTTCCTAGAGACCTTTCTTACCCATCTTTTCCCAGCCATACTGCATTCCACTGTGGGGACCGTACCACAGTTGACTCAGTTGATGTAGATTTGGACATTTAGGTGGTTCCTAAATTGTGCAATATAAAGGATGCTGCAATAAATAGCCTTTTGTGCATATATACACACACGTATGTACATATATATATATATGGAGAGAGGGGGGGTGTACACTTCGTCACAATGATCCATGTAAGATGTTAACAGATATATATGTGTGTGTGTATATATATATCTAATATATATACATACACACAGGCACACACACCCATATTCTTTCCATTAAGCATCGTAACAATTCTGTGCCGTGAAGATATTCTCGTCCAGCCCCAGGAAGCTTAGCGATGAGCCCCAAAGCCCGGGGCTTTGACAGACAGGGTTCAAGACCGTCTGTCTGACTCCCTTGGACCCTTCACTGCCGTGTTCCCAGCATTCCCAGGTCTTGGTGCAACCCCGGACCTGCCCCTAATGCTCTCGGGAACCAGAGGAAGTTGGGAAATTTAACAATTATATGGGGACATTATTTGTGAGCAAATATCAAAGTCCTGGTTTAATAATACATTGAGGGATGCTTGTTTGCTGCAAAAAATTTGTTTGAAATAATGTTTTTATTCATCGAAAACTCCCCGGGTACGTCTAAAGTATCCTTCGGTTTACCAGAAATCAAACCACATCTAATTCTTCAAGCTTTAATAAGCTCCTTGCTTGTGAACCGTGGACTGGATTTCAGGATTAGCCTGTCTTGTCTTGGAGAGATGAGCTCACAGGGACACTTCGGGGCCGTGGTGGCCTGCCTGCAGGGCGTCCCCCTGGGGGCCGTGCTTCCCGGTGTTGCCCTCTGTGTGATCCCCCCCACCTGTGCCAGAGGCGGCCTGAGTCACCTGTGGGCGGCGCCGCCCTTTCTCTGCTCCCCACTCCTTGGATCGGGATGAAGGGGAAGGCTGGGGAGGCTCAGGGTCGCTTCTTTCAGCGCAAGGTTTCGGGGTCTCGACCTCGAGCTCCGTGTCACGGAGAACACCCAGCCCATCACTCGACATTCGTCTTGATTCTGCTCCGGCACCCAAGCCTTTCACATCCTGTCCCCTCCCTGGGCAGCATCCTGCGGCGTCCCAGCTGACGCCGTGTGCGCGGCTTCTCCTAACCGCACCCAGGCTTCTGTTTCAGGCTGGAAATGAGAGTACACACAAGGGTGGCAGGTGGCAGGGAGGCCGCGGGGGCGGGAGACAGCGGCAGGGAGGAGCTCTGAGGGGACAGGGCTTGACAGGAGCTCGCCAACGCGAGGCACCGAACAGCACGTTGTAAACCCGGCAGCTCGCAGATGCCAGCCCCCCGAGAGTCCTTTCTCGGGGACACGGGGAGCCGATCGGGCAGGAGCAGAAGGGATTCCAGGAAGCGCAGATTCGGGGCTTGTCGCCCAGGCAGCTGAAGCCACCCACCTCCCCCCCAAACAAATGGAGCCGGTTCCGTTCTCACATGTGCCAATCACCTCGCCGTTCAAAACAAGCCCGAGAGTTGGCTGGTGGCTCTTGCTTTCTGAGGGAGGCCTGGGCGAGAAGGGTTTCGGGCGGCTCACGGCCTGGGCTTTGGACGAGCCTGTCTTCCAGCCCCACCTGCCTCCCCGCCGCCCCACCTGAGCTGCTGCCTGCCTCTGCGGTGGCCTCGAGCCAGGGTGTCCCTTCCCTGGCGGTGGAACAGGCCGTGGCAGCAGGCCTGGCTGGGAGGGAACGGCACAGTCCAGCTACGTGGCTTCCGGGGCCTGAAGGCGGCTTTCAGAGTGTGGCACCCACTGGAGTGCGTGGCGGGGAGCCGGGCGGTGGGGCGGTGGGGAGTGGCCCAGATGAAGTAAAAAGCGTCAACATGGCAAATACTATGTAGCCAGTAAGAAGTGTGTTGCTGGAGAGGACTCAATTGTGTGGGGAAACTTCAAGGATAAAGTGTTAAATGGGAAAAAAGCAGGTTTCCAAGTAGAATGTTCCCAGTAAAGTAAAAATACATGTATGCAGAAGGAAAAATTCCAAAATGTTAATTGTGGCTACATCTGGGTAATATGGGCAGTTTTTAATTCCTTCTCGGCCTGTCTCCTCCTTCAGGTTTTCTATGAGGAGCCCGTCGAAACTTAATCAGGAAAGGGGTATTAACATCGAACAAAGTGCAGATAGCGAAAGCTGTGTCCTGGGAGTGGGGGCGAGGCAGGCCCCCACCACTGAAGCCCCCCTGCTCTCTCTCGTCTCCCTCCTCTCCTCCGGCACTTCCCGACTCGCCCCTGAGTCACCACCCCCTGGCACGTGCTCTCGGCTCCCAGTGGCTTCCTGGATGCTCGGGCTGTTTCCCCAGGACTGGCTCTTACCGTTTCTCTTGCACACACACCTCTGCCTGCACGGAGGAGCTCAGAGCTGGACACACACCAAGTGCAAGGCTGCAGGTCGGTCCCACAGGGCCAGGGTCAGCGTGAGGACAGAGGGCACATGAAGAGGTGCTGGGATTGGGGTGTGTTGGGTGGCCCCAGAGGAGGAGAGGGAGAGATGCACAACTTCTGTGCGTTCCTGACCTTGCGGTCCCTGAGAGAGGAGCGAGATGATCTTCCGAACCATATTTCAACTTGAAAGAAATCTCTCTCTCTCTCTCTCTCTCTCTCTCTCACTCTCTCTCACACACACACACACACACACACAGAGTCTGTTTCCCATCAGGATCCCTAGCACCTAGTGTAGAACTTGGCAGTGCTCAGTAAATACCCTTGAATGAATGAAAAATAAAACTCACCCACCAGTGTCTTGTGTCATCAGAGAGCCCGGCTCAGGCCAGAGAACCCAGGAAGCGGGGCAGGCCACCGCTTCTGTACCGTTGTCAAGTTCAGAGCCCTCAGGAGGGGGAGGAGCTCAGGGAGCGTCGCCGTGGCCAGGACAGAGGGGACAGACCCGGGAAAAACTCATCCCAGGACCCTTGAGCTTGCAGGAGTGCTGTCCTTTCGTGCCGGGACGGGAGCACCTGGCCGGGCAGAGACAGTGAGAAAGAGTTGGAACAGCCCACAGCGAACGGGAGCCCATCGGATTTTTTGTTTGGCTTTGGTTGGACTTGGAGTGCACGGAGTTTTAGAAACACTGAGTCCCCGACGCCTGGTGTGTGACGGGCCGTGCAGGTGTGCCACGGCGTCCACACCGCCCTGCTCTCGCCGCCCGGCAGGCCGCGGTTTACAAGAGCGGAAAACACCTGCACCGGTAACCTCAGCTGCGGAGGAAGCCGTGGGAACAGTGACTCACACGGTGGAGAGAAGACAAACACCAGCTACAGGAGCAAACACCTCTGTGCGCCCCCCGGGCCACATTCCATCCCGGGGGCTTTACACACGCGTGAGCTCACTTCCAAGTGTCGGGGAGGCCGACACGGCTGGTCAGATCCCCCGTGTCCACGCTCCGTCCTGCTCTGTCTTTCCCTCCCCGGCTTCAGTGTGAGCAAGAGCTGGACCAGGCACTCACACCCCTCTTCAGAGGACCCACATCTGGGCTGCGGGGGCTGGTGCCTCACATTCTCCACCCCCCTCCAGCAATGACTCATTGCCCCAGGGTTACGTGTGTCCCCAGCAGTCCCCGCAGCACCAGACAGTCTCACCTTGCCCGGGGAGAGACTGGAGGGCCGAGCGGCTTGCCCTGGAGCACGACGCAGGGCTTGTCGTAGAACTAGGGTCTGCTGGACCCTTGAGGCCCGTGCAAGTTTCCACGGCCACAGTGACCCTGAGGTCTGCCGGCCTCTCTCCTCCTGTCCCCTCCCGCCCTCCCTCCCTCCTGCCCGAAGGCTCTTTACTCTTGGAACCAGGCAGGGTCAAGGTTCAGTTGAGGAGCAGAGTGTTTTCCGTTTGGAAGGCGGCCGGCCTGGAGTTGCCGGAAGCCGATGATGAGAGGTGCCCTGCCCTGCGCGGCCTACACCGCCCATCTGCGTGGCTCCGTACCGGCGGACGCGGCCCGGTGCCGCTCAGCGAGCTGTGTGGGGATCGATTCAACGTATCCGAACCAAGGAATCATCAAAGCTGAGTCAGACACTCGTACACTCAACACGTGTTTATGGAGAACAGCTCCGTTCGGGGACATGTCAGGAACAAGGCAGGCTTTGCAAAGCGATGCCCAGGAGAGGTCGCTCCCTGAGGCGGTGGTGACCAGGGCAGCAGTCACCCCTCCCCAGACACAGGAGACTCTGGGGCTCTCACGTTTGTCACCGCTGTGGCACTACGAGGGGAGGGTCTCTGCAGACTGTATGACAGATGTGTCCTTTGGGTCTGTCGGTCCCCAGGCTTCGATGTTATGCTCTGAGCAAGACCACGGCCCCCCTCCCCTGTGTCCCCCTTAAGGGAATTGCTGGTTTTCTGTGCCTGGACCCTTATCATCGTGGTGGACACACGTGTGTGTTAAATGATGGCCAACGTCCCCAGCGACAAAGATCCCTTTAGGAAGTGACAGCAAGACTGAAAAAAACAACAGTTCCTCTGTGTTGACAGTTTACTACAGGTGCCCTGAGTGGTGTTTGCTTTCCCCCCAAGGACAGTGACACGTCTGGGTTCTTTGTAGCTGCGTCGTCACTGACATGTGAAAGAAATGATGCCATCCATAATACTAACTTTTTAAAAAACCTGCCCGTTTTCTTTTTTTAAAAGATTTTATTTATTTATTTTTAGACAGAGGGGAAGGAGGGCAGAAAGAGAGGTAAACAAACATCAGTGTGTGGTTGCCTTTCCAGCACCCCCTACTGGGGACCTGGCCCGCAACCCAGGCGTGTGCCCTGACTGGGAATCGAACCGGTGACCCTTTGGTTCGCAGGCCGGCACTGAGTCCGCTGAGCTGCACCAGCCAGGGCCCTACCCCTGTTTTCAAGGTGTTTTAACATGGCATATGTATTCTTATTTAAATAGCAATCACTTATAAAGATGCACAATATAATTTCATTTTTAAACGTACACTTTAAAATACAGAAGGGCAGGTGTTGTCGTTTTACAGATGAGAACGTGGGAGGCTCAGAGTTTGGAAGCTGCCGGTCCAAAGCCGCACTGCTCTGTTTGCACCGCAGAGCTCGTGGTCGACGATTTCATTTGAATAGCTTTTTGGGGTTTTTTGGCGTCCGCCTTTCTTCCTTTTATATGTATCCCAGCGGGCATTTCCTCCCATTGTTTAGTGTCCATTTTATTCTGCCTCAATTAAAAGAAAAATCAAAGAAAACCTACTTTGTTATTACTTTTATTCTCTTAGCATGTAACGTCACCTTGAAATTGGGTCGTGAGGATGATAACGTTTTACTGTTTCCCACTCTGTTTCCGTAATTGGACAATTATAGGAAATGGCCCCTGTTTCTGTCTCACTGGTCAGTAAATTATTTTAATAATTATGTTGGCTCTTTAGCTGAAATAGTTCAAATATGACGTTGTATTGATAGCATGGCCGAAATCTCTGGTCAGCAATTTAGGTCGATTTCTTTATTATCAATAATCATAATATGACCAATGCCTGTGTATTGCCAGTTGCAATGGGGGACGTTTTTGGAAACCTCTGTCTGTAAGCCCTGTGGCCGCAGCATGTCTGTCTGTCCGCCCGCAGGGGTTTGAGAGCAGTGCCTGTCTCGAAGAGGGCGTCACCTGGAGGGAGCCCAAACCGGGAGTGGGGGCAGGCCCGTAACCAGTGCGGTCAGAGCGGGGGGCTGGCCCAGAAAACCGAGGAGCAGTGAGGCAGGCGAGCGAGGAAAAGGTTAAAAGTGCTGACCCTCGGAAGAGAAGTTCTGCACGCCGAGGTCATGGCCACCCAGCCCTGCCCTTTCCCAGGCCTCCCTCCTCCCCGCCGCCTCCCCAGATCCCCTGCTCAGGAATCCTTCTGCGTGACGGTGACAGAGAAGGCCTAGGGGAGTCGGACGCTCCAGTCAGCCCCGGTGTTGGAGCGGCCCTTCCCTGTGTCCCCGAGGGCCGGGGGTGACTGGACTTGCGTGAGGAGCGAAATGAAAGCTGCTGGAGGAGGTGGGAGTCCAGGTGGCCTGTCTGTCACAGCCACACCCCGGGCTGTCGTTGACCTTGGCGGAGACAGTTAGCCAAGCATGGAGGGGGACTGGGGCTTCTCAGTCCTTTGCGGGGTCCATCCGTGAGCGTCTTATGAAAACACACACACTAGCTCTCAAGAAGGCAGGCCTGCTCCCACATGCGCCCACCCGGACGGACCCGTGAACTTGACCCAGGCTCGAGCTGCTGGTCTAGGTCACCCGTACGGCCCCTTCCAGGTCTGGCCTTCTGTTTGTCTGAGCTGACGTGTTGCGTTCAGATTTCAGTGCCCCTCCGTCCTGAGCTGAATTTTTCCTCAAATTGTTTTCATTGTTTATTGTTCTTGGCACATCCACTTCTTGGGGCCTCCCTGCTAATTTGTAGGAGGTTTTCATGTTTTCAGTATCTGGGGAGGGCTTTTCATTTCCTGGCCTCACGTTAGGATGAAGGGACTTCCCTTAGAGAGTTCTTTCCCTGGAGCCACTGGGTCTGGGGACCCACGTAGCCTGCGGGGTCGGGGGGTGTGGGAAGAACTATATCTTTGTTTTCCTAAAGCGTTACCAGAAATCAGGATTCCTTTCACTCTGGCCGGAGGTGACCGGCCAGGTTTAGGTCAGCCGCACCTGGAGGAGCTGAGCACGGAGGCCAGCCTGTCTGGGACCCACACCCCCCCCGGCGCCCAGGACCCCGCCCTCCCTGCAGACACAGGGCCCCCATGAGCCCTGCCGCCCGGGCCTCTGCCTTCGGGGGCCACACACGCGGAGAACAGCCACCCCTCTGCCACCGCAGCTCGGTCCCGCCCTGTCCCGCCGCTTTCCTGTTCCCTGGCCTGCTCCCCCCTGGGCACAGCGCCAGCCCGGCCGTCCAAGCTCATGACCCCTTTGTGCTCTGTGCTGGTCAAGTGACCGCCGTTGAGCACGGTCAGCTTCCTCCGGTCTCCTGCTCCGTGTTCCTGTTTGCATTTTGCGTCCGTCACCTTGTTTTGGTCTTTGAGGATTCTCGTGGTGCCGTCTCTCTTCCTCCGAGTCAGGGCACACGTCACCCACTGCAAACAGCCCTAAGAGTAGCCCCTGGCAGCAGCCCGATCGTCCACGAGGGGCCCCAGACGGAGGAGGTCAGCGCTGCACTCTGGGTTTAGCTGGATGTTGGGCAGGCCTCATCCCCTATCTCCCCTCTACCCCCGGGAAGCCGGGAAGGGGGGCAGGCCTCTCTGGAAGCTTTCACCCGGCCTGGGCAGCTCTCAGAGTGTTTGTGCGTCTACCATCGGTACCGGGGGAGGGACGGAGCCGTACCTTGTCCCGCCCGACGCTCAGCGCTGGCCGCCCGGCACTCTCTGCGCCATCTGCATGTCACCCCATGTCCCCAGCCAGTAGACACACGCAGCTCCCGGCACCTGCAACCCGAGGGTGAGAACCCCCAAGCTCAGCGCTCTGGGCCCGATTCAGAAACCAGCACGGGGGTCCCCCGGCTTTGATGCTCAGCCACTGCCCTTCACTCCCAGCTTCCTCAGTCCCTGGCAGTGACCGCGGAGCCCCATGTGTCACCGCTGACCACTCATCCCCTCACCCACGCCGTTCCTGCCGGCCCACCTCAGCCTAGAAGGACCACCCGGAGGGAGACTCTCCTGTGTCCAAGCCAGGAGTCTGAGGAGGGCCCGGGGTCACTGCTGTGGCGACAGCTTATGGAGGGCTTCAGGGCAGGGTTCCCGGGGGAAGCACGTCCCGTCCCCCGTTGCTGTAGAGAATGGGTCTGCCCCTGCTGAGTCCTCATTCCTCCGCACCGCCCAGCATTCAGAAGGCTCCGAAATACGACCAGGAATGTCCTCTGTGACTTTGACCTTCTTGGTGGCTCAGGACCTTCCCTGGGTGCTCTGAGGAAGAAGCCAGGCTGGCGAACTGGAAGTCAGAGAATAAAGGTCAGAGGCAGGATGACTAGCAAGTCTGGGACAGGAGGGACCGTGGGCACAGGGACAGCACCGGACAGCCCGACTGGGCAGGAGAGAGAGTATCGAAAGGAACGTGACGGCAGTTTTCAAACGCTTGATTGAGGTGGGCCAGAGGGAGGGAATCAGGCTTGTTTAGACAGTTTCCAGGCTGTGGGGCAGCGGGCAGTAAGAGCGGGGGGTACAAGTCACAGAGGGGCAGTTTCCAGCTCTGCATAAAGGACAGTTTGCCAGCGGTCCGAGCAGCTGAGAACCGCGCTGCCCCAGGACTCGGTGCCCGTCCCACTGCGGGACACGTTCAAGGAGACGATGAGACCTGCTCTGTGGAGAACTCCTCTCTTTCTCTAACTTTTAAAAGACTTTTATGGAACATACTGGGGTGACCTTGGTTAATAAAATTATGTAGGTGTCAGTGGCACGATTCTACAGCACATCATCCGTCCACTGTATTGTGGGTTCACTGCCCCAAGTCTCCTGCCATCTCCATTGTCCCCCTTCACCCTCTCCCACCCCCACCCTTTCCCTCACACCCACCATGCTGCTGCCTGTGTCTGTGAGTCTGTTTGTTCTCGCTGGTGAATTTCTTCTGTTCATTTGGTGCCACATTTGCGTGGAATCGTAAGCCCTCGTCTTTCTCTGACTGGCTTACTTCGTAACACCCGATTTCTACGTGAGTCACCGTCACGGAGAGCAGGCTGTCGCAAGTCCCCGCTGACTCCGGTATCTGGTGATCATCATGTGATTCTGTGGCCGTCGGGCCAGGCCCTGCGCAGAGTTCTGGGGCGA